GAAAACTTTGATATTTCTTCTTGCTCCTTCTTCTTCCCTTGGCTCAACAATGGAGTTGAGAATTCTTCCTCCTGAGTTTCTGCCGAGAGAGGGAGAGGATGGTGATGGGATGAATGATGGATGGATGATGGTGGTAATGTGTGAGGATGATGGTGGTGGTGGTAGGGTAATAATATAGGAAAGAGTAATTGGAGGGATGTGGTGGTGGGGTCCTAATGTGGTTTGATTGAGGATTGGAAGAGATGGGGGGAGTGTCTCTACGTGATTTGGAGGGTTTGGGGAATCAAATATATTCTCCTACTCCGTAACTGATAAACTGGCTAAAACGGTACGCGCTTTTTCGCCCAAACTGTTCCGTTTTGAAAACGGGTCGCGTTTTTGGAATCAGATTGTCAAAACTAGAATTTTGATATAATTAAAATATTTTTCTGGAAACTTTTATTTTTCAGTGTTCGGGTCTGCCTCAGTCATTAACTAATTTTTAAATTAATTAATTCTTTTAGGCCTAATTTCGGGGTGTTACATGCCTGGACATGGTGCCGCTTCTGAACAAGAATCGTCGAGTTCAGAAGTGTACCGACACCATTACTAGACGGTAGGGAGAGGGGAACTGAGCCACCCAGTATCGATTACGGGTTCGAGGTTTTTGTACTGGAAGGTTGATGCGGAGGTGAACACGAGACCTCTAAAGGTTTGAGAGTGATGGATATCCGGACCCATTAAACAAATATGAACGGCCCAATCCACAAGAGAGTGGCTTGGGCTAGTACGGAACGGGGGTTGATAAATGGGATATTAAAGGCCCAGTTCATGTTGATAGGCCCAAACGAATAATACAGCACCAAGTTGTGGGAAGATCAGGGGTTGAGCTATTAACCTCCACGATCGACGTATAAGAGATAATGACCGAGATTTATGCACACGATGAGTGCCCATTATGTATGTAATTGTAATGTAGTATGAATAGAGGGAGAACCCTCCATTGTGAAGCAAGAAAAAGATGAGCATTAACAAATTAATAAAAATATATCAGGATTCAATATTATTGATATTCATTTTCCTAAATCCGTTCTTCGTCGCTATAGTTGTTGGGCTAAATCCCATCAGAGAGGAACTAGAACCAGACCGAAACTTTATCGTGTCCAGGCTTTGGTGTACACCACTTTGTACACCAAAACTTTGCACTGACATTTTGATAACTTAGACTGACGCAAAAAATTCACACTAATATTTTATGCTTGTGTAAGCCATCAAAGTGTCAGTCTAAATCTTTGGCGTAGAAAATGGTGTACACCTAACATGCATCTGAGTTAAAACTCTCTCACCCGTCACCATAGTGTCAAACGACCCTTGCTGCCTTCTCTAGCTCTTTCTTTTAGTCCTATTGACTTGATTATAATGTAGTATCCATTCATACTTTTTTAACATACTGACACACAAAGAGCTAATGCATCCACCTAGGCTGGGGATCGAACTTGGATGAACTCCTCCATGAATCTTGAGAAATGGGTTTCCTTCCACTCAAACTAGGAGAGAAGTTCCTCTCGCTCCTTTTATTTTAATCCATCATACTATCTTTAGTTATTTTTTAAAATTTGTTTGTTTATTAATTTGTTTGTGTGAGAAAGCCTACCTCTTGTTTAAGTTTCAACACCCTCTCTTTGATTATTTTTCCCTCTTATACTCTTTTATACATTCTACTATCTTTATCAAATATCATATTTGATTATTTTTGTATGATTCACATTTATTTTTACTTTATCTTACAGAGTTTTTTTAACATTAATATCAATCACAGAATTTTGATTTTTTAAATCTCCATACTACTCTCTAAGGTCCCAAAAATAATGAGAGTGAGAGATTATTAGCTTTTGGGCATAACACATTAACACTACACACTACAGGGTATGAGGGTGTCTTCATGTCGTGTGTCGGTGTATAATGGTCTTTATATCTAGTAAAATTTGTTCCGTATAAGAGTAATACATACTCCCTCCGTCCGGAAAAGAAGTTTCCGTTTCTCTTTTTTCTCTGTCCGGAAATAAAGTTTACATTTCTAATTTTAATCCACACTCTTCCAAAAATACCTTTCTCTACCTTTCTTTCTTTCTCTTCTTTTTTTCTTTACTTTTTCCTTATTTCTCCTTTCTCTTCTCCACCACGCCTTTCTCTTCTTATCCTCATTCTATCTCTCTATCCTCTTCTCTCTTTTCATTCGTTTGCTTCTCCTCCCAGCACAAATCTTTTTTTCTTTTCTTCTTTTCTCCTTTCTCCTTGTGTAGATCTGACTTCCTCTTCTTTCTCATCCTCCTCCAAATTTAATATACACATCGAATCGGAAGGTTTAGGGCATTCTTTGATAAACAACGATGGCTCCAAGTTTCCTGCTCGTTGAAAGCATCAGCAGCCCCGTCGCCGCCGTAGCACCTCTCGATTTGCCGTCATCACTAGCTGCGTCCAAATTGCACAGTATCCTGAGATTAAACTTGGCCGGAGGAAATCCTATGACGTAGCTCCTCTCGAATTGCCGTCATTACTTTTTTTTCACTTCCCAGTTCTAAGCCCACACACCCTTTTTTTTTTTCTTTCCCTTCTTTTTTAAGGGTATTTTGGTCATTTCACAGGGTTAGTCAACCTCCCTTAAAAATGACCAAAAGTCAAAACGTAAACTTTAATACCGGACGGAGGGAGTTTTTCTAGTTCTCTACTTATGTAAGAGTAATTTTAAAGTAGGCTTCCAAATTTACCCTAATCAAATACTCCCTCCGTCCTAAAACCATCTTCCCATTTGTGTTTACGAGGTTTGACCAACTTTATTTTCAATTCAATTTATTTGATTGTAGGAGTAAAATTAAAAAATAAAATTTACATATTTAAAAACTATATTGAAAGTTCTATAAAACGAGATGTGACAAGACTATATTATTTTATCAAATAAGTAGCAAAAATAGGTAAAGAAAGTGATTTAAGTTTGACCGCGTGAATAGTAATTGGGAAGATAGTTTTAGGATGGAGAGAGTAACATTTACATCACCTTTTTTTATAATTTATATTCTATTTACTACTTCGTATTTTAGAAGATACTCCCTCCGTCCGGGAATGATGTTCCCATTGTACGTTTTTTTCCGTCCGGGAATGATGTTCCCATTGTACGCTTTTTCCTCTATTCTCCCTAAAATACCCCTCTCATTTAATATCCTCACATTCACTCCTCCTATCTACCCAACCTGCCCACCTCCCCAATTAAACCCTCTCGCCCCTCTTTAGATCTAATCTACTCTCTCTCTCTGTCGGTTCTTCTTCTCTCCCAATCCCTAGATTACAATCGTTCCTCTCCTAGATCTATACATCTCCGCCTGAATTCATGGAATCTGATTACTTTCTTTACGATTCCATCATCCCTGAGACGGAATTTCAAGACATTGGAGTTGAGGACGAGGTGATTCACCTATGTTCCACCTCTGACGCGAAGAAGGAGGACGAGGTCATCGTCATCCATAGCGATGACGATGATGCCGATGTTGCCCCGGTCAGAGATAAGAACGTGGTTATCGTCCTTGACTCTGAGGAAGATTCCCTGTTTGGGAGCGAGGAAGATGGCAGTTTTGAGGATGTAGAGGGGTCTGAATTTCTTGAGAATCAGACTTCTCCATCCATGAACTCATGCATGCACCTCCACATCGATCTACTGAACATATTAATGCCCACCCCGGGTCCTAACTTTTGGGCATCACAGTACAAGTAGGAAAGTTCCTTTCCTTTCACTCTAATTCTTTCTGATTTTATTCTGAATTGAATTTCAAATCTGTGTTGCTCTTAAGTGGAGAGTGTGTACTGTGATGAGCATTTTCCTATGAATATGTTAAGTCTGTACTTAACATTTTCCATCCGCCACTTTCTCTTCTTTCTTATCCTCATCCCTTATTTTTAAAGCAAGGGTATATTGGACATTTTAAAGCCTTTTTTCACTCCTTTTAAAAATGAGGAAAAGTCAAAGTGGGAATATCATTTCCGAACGGAGGGAGTATTAATCATTAAATTTCTCTCTTACTTTTTAGGAGTTTCCCACATCCTTCTCCACATGCACGTTTGTTTCCTTTTTCACTTTGTTTTTTTTAGAATACCTTGTTCACTATGTCAACCCATCTATCACCAAATTTTCACCTTTTTCGGTACTCATTCATCAAGTTTTTATCATTGTTGCAATTTGTTTCACAGCCATCTGCATCCCCAATATCTCACATTCATGCTCTTCTAAAACTTGACGGTGAATGGAACCGTGATGGCATTTTTCAATTCCAGATTTTGTCTATGAGATTCCTATTTTAACGCCAACAAAAAATATGGCCTAAAAATTATTATAAAATAAAAGTAGTTTTGAATATCATTTTGATCCAATAAGGAATATTTATACTTTAGACCAAAAATGAATGGTTTTTCAAAATAATTACTTTTTGTTAAAAACTTATTTTTATGGATATGCCTCAAAGAGACGAATCCAACATACATTTCATGAACCAATCTAATTTATAGATTTCAAGCTACGACGATTTTAAATATTAAAACTTATAACTTTGACCCATAAACTAAACTAAATTCAAAAGTGATTTTATAAGATTAGAAATCTTAATCTTTGACACTTGACAATACTATATTCATCATTGGAAAATACTTGGTTCACAAACTTACTATTTGTGAACTTCAATAAATATAATTAAATAGTCTAAACTATTTTTAAAATGAAAATTTAAACCATAAATAGTAAGTTTGTGAAGTTTGTGAGTATTCTGTTTGTGAACGAAGCATTGCTCTATATGACTGAGTCGGATCCAGAAGCTAAAAAATAAAAGTTTTCACAAAAATATTTTTATCACGTCAAAATTTTAGTTTTGACAGTTTGATTCCATAAATACAATTGGTTTTTAATTCGGAACAGTTTGGGCGAAAAAGCGTGTATCATTTAGGGTAAACTGATCACTTTGAACTAAAAGCCAAACTTAATAATCCTAAACCTCTCAAATACTACTCAATCGCGCAGCCCCTTCACAAATTCAAAAATCTCTTAAATTCTACAAAGCCACCCACTAGACCATAATAGTCCAAACCATAGTTTTCAGAATTGGACCGGTGACCGAACCGGTCAAGGTACTGGTTCACTGGTCGAACCAGTGGTTCAACTGGTCGAACCGGTGGTTTAAACATATTTAAAAATTACACACACACAGATATATATATATATATATATATATATATATATATATATATATATATATTGGTTCAGGTGAGAATGCGATCTTATGAAAGAAATAAGAATGAATCTGGTGCTTTAGATTGTGATATCTAAGGGTCAAGATTGTATCAAAATTAGGTGCACCAAAAAGGGTTAAAAATGCATCTTGTCGAAATGCATCAAAATCCTTTGAAAATGCACTATCTCAAAATCTGAGTGCAGAATGCAATCTGAGCCGCACGATGCATCCGATCCAAAGGCTAGATTTTATTCTTATTTCTTTCACTAAGGTGCATTCTCACCTGATATATATATATATATATATATATATATATATATATATATATATATATATATATATAAACACACATACATATAGACACACACAATTTCTCATTTATAAATACCTAAAGAAAGTAACTTATAACATTTGACTAAAATTATATTAATATACTTGAGTTCCTTTTCTAAGTTAAAAAAATAAAATTTACATATTAAAAAAAGAATATTAAAAATTTTATAAATGAAGAGTTGATTTTATTTTTTCCAAATAAATTGTTTAATATTAAAAAACACTCAAATAAAATCTTTGCATGATATGCATTATATTTTGTAATAGTATCAATAATATGAATGATTTTGTGTTTGACTCATAGGTATATAATATTATATTTTTTAAATTAAAAAGGAATTCATAGATACAATCTTTTTTTAATTATGAAATATTTTAAAAGATGAAGTGAACTTGTAACAAAAACACCCTTGCTTGGATGGTTAGGAACTCAACCTAATGTGTAAGAGGTCTTAGGTTTAAACCCCCATTCTTGCATGTTTTGGAAAAAATCGCAAAAAAAAAAGAAAAAAAAATTGGGCCGACCGGTTTGACTAGCCGGTTCTGACTGCTTCACACCGGTTTGCATCGGTTCAGAGCTTGTTACACTCCAAAGGATTGGACCAGAACAGTTGGACCACCGGTTCGCCGGTTCACGGTTCGAACCGTCCGGTCTGGTTTTCAAAACTATAGTCCAAACAACTTTGTAATTGTGTTCATAGTTATGCTCCATCATCATCATTCCTTATCATCAACCATCATAAAAAATCATTCATCTTCATTCCTCCCACTTCGTACTAGCCTCAAGGAAGGAAGAAAACACAGCAACTCCATATTTGTGTGCCAAGGAAAAAGGAGATGCAAGAAGGAAACCATACATAGTTTTAAAAATCCTGAGCTCAAATACAGAAGCCCCCTTCTACGTAAATTCTGTAATTTTTCATCCATTATTTCGTATCACTTTCTTCACCAAAGTTGTAGCCCCGTTTTTTTACGAATTCAACCCAAAAAACGGTATGCAATTTCCTTAAGAAACGAAGGACATATGGTCAAAATACCAGGACTGTGCCAGTGGTGGCGAGCTCCTCGGGTTGGGCTAGTTTATTCGCCATATTCATATCGTTTCATTCCAAAGGCTTACCATCAACTCTCTAAAGATTATTAGGAACTTCTAGAAGGTACTGTAGAGATGGTTTTACGAAAGAAGCTTGAAGTTGATAAGTTGGTCGTCGGAATCATCGTTGTTCATTAGATCATCCGAAATCCTGGCAGCACATATCAGTCCACTTGTGAGCTATATTCGACCACTTTAACTTCCTTATTCTAACATGGTTTGTTTACAGAAGTTAACACTACAAGAAAGTTGGTATTTCGACGCACTTAAAATTGTTGTTCGCCACACTTATAAATGTGGAAAAACTGATTTGCCACACATGACCTAAGTGTTACTACGTAAATGTGGGAATATTTTCGCCGCACTTTTATAAGTGTGGCTATTGAATAGATTAACCACACTTAGTATGTGTGGCTAATATTTTATTTTACCGCACTTATATGTGTTCTTATGACACCAACACTTGCAAGTATTGCAAATGTCATGTTAATTTTTTTTTAAAAAAATTATTATAAAATTCATTATTTATAAGAAAATAACAATTATATTTTAATTATTGATCTTCTTTAAATTAAAGAGTTTTATAGGAATACTGAGTACTCATGCATTTCAATAAATTAAACCACCAATTAAGTACGTCAAATCATCAGTATACAAAACCAAATTAAACTTATAAGAATACACTACAAGCAACAAGTAAAAAACATAAAAAAGGGCTAACTCTACTTTTAGATTTAATGAAGATTCTTGTCTGAAGGTGCAATAATCTCCCTTGTATCCAGAATCTTTAGATTCCTTGTGGCCGGACTATCTTTGTTTCCCCTTCAAACCTTCATTCAATAGACCTAACTAGAAGTGATACTTTTAGAAGTAGCATAGCTTGACAAAGATCACTCGAATGCAGAAACTTTTGATGTTTAATCAACCTGCAACATCTAAACAAAAAATTCTACCATTGCTATGTTTAAACAACAAGAGAAAAGGACCTCAAATATACAAGGAAAAAATGTAAAGCTATGTATAATGAATATGTGCTTACATGTATTTACACTTTCTGGGCATGTTGCTCGAGGAAAAAAGAATATCCTCTTGGGCAAAGTGTGCTCCTTTGATATAATCTCCAAGCAAATCCTTGTTTTTCTGGAACCATACATCCTCAATTAAAGATCTCACCTATAAAAAAAATTAAAAATTGCAGGATAGAATGTAAAAAAATGGAACAAAAACTAGCTAAAAGAGCACAAACTATATAACAATGTCTTCCTAAAAGGTGAATAGCAGAAAGACCATCATAAATCATACTCAGCTTGTGAAACATATTTATACTCAATAAACAATACAATGCATTATAGATTTAACCTAACTGCTTCAATTCATATTACCCTTGGAGATTAAAAGTCAATGTGTATAAACACAATAAGTTACATGTCCAGATACAAAGAAAACTAAAAAAGTTCAATGACTTATTTATTAATAGCAATTAACATTGACATCCTGGAGTATTTAAATCAAAACAGTTTTAAAAGTGGTGAAAGGAAATGCCTTGGGTGTAGAGGGGTTACTCCATAATAAGTAAAACCTGTTTAAACTCAATCATAAGCCACTTCTCTACTAATTTTACCAAAATAAGTAATTAAGGTTTCTTCTTATTATAGGCATACTCTGCACCATGAAGCACGCTAGATAGCCCAAGCGTAATACCCCGAGTAACCCACCAAACAAAAGCAATCCCCCTTCTTTGGGAGCCTCACAGCTAGGGAGCCGCTGGCCGAACCTGGCATGCCAGGCACAGTGGCACACTGCATACATATGACAGTAAAAGTGAAATCATCAATTAAACAACAGGACTAAAGGTAATTTCAAATCTGTTTATGACCTGAAACAATAATATTAAGGCTCAAATTAAACAATAAAAACAAAACCATCATATAAACGAAGAGGAAACTGAAGAACAATTATGGACTTAAAAGATTATACCCATGAAAACACCGTACCCCTGGATGCTAGGTTTTTTGAGCTTTGGTTTCATTTATGTTGCTCTTCATCCCGGGTTTGAATGAAGGTAAGGTGGACAAAATTTTCTAATTGAAACTTGAAGGATATATGTCATGTATTATATCCTCAACCTCAACCACCCAGGAAGAAGGCCCAGAACTTCTTCGTTGTGTGAAAACCTTTGAAAATCCCATTGAGGCATTTCGACAAACAGTTGGCGGGCAACTTTCATCAGTTTGAACTTCAATTAGATTCTCCACTTTAGATATACAAGCAGGCCCTGGGGATTGTCTAAGGATCCTTGGGATGTCATGAGAACATTAAAAAAGTTAATACAATAGGAGGATAACGTTGAAGCAAAACATCGAACAGGTGGTGTCCCCTTCTACTACAGAATATGCTTTGAACTATTTGGTGATGAGGGGCTGCCTAGGACTTCAAGTAACACCTCAGGGATATTAAATTCACCAAAAACAAACCAGGGGGCAGCAAAGCACCATAGAAAACCTTTGCAAAACTCTCAGACCTGAATCGTGACTCTGCTGCAATTTTTCAGCGATAACAACTTTCTCACTTCCTCAAAATAAGCCACAAAATTCACAATATAACATGGGTAGATGATAAACACTTGAAATCGATCAAGAAAAAGCAAAGAAACCTGAATCTGATCGGGTAAATGGGTGAATTGCAAACTGGAATTTTTCAAAACTTTTTCGCTAGAGCTCTTGACACGCGCTAGGGTTAGCATGGCGATTTTCTTCTATAGAATGAATCTGGAATTCTATCGTTCCCGATTACCATCTGCCATCTCTCGTTCCGACGTTGCCATCTTTCTTCTAGGATTTTCTAATTTCACATTTTCACCCGGTGAACTTCATGCCGTCATTCCATGTATGATCTTCACATTTTCACCCGGTGAACTTCATGCCGTCAGGATGGTTGGATTATATTTTTCAGTTGGTTATTGGGCTCACTTTGATTTGTAAAAAAACAAGTTTACTACATTTATCAAAAGTGGATTATACAATTGTTTATAACCACAATTTAGAAGTGTAGAGAAATTGAGCACCATTTAAATCTTTTCCACCCTAGGCTAAGTGCGGTAAAATAAGGGCGGTAAAAAGCACATTTTCTTGTAGTGTAAAGTCTTACATTTTATGAATCTACAGAATCAAACAGTTTGCAATTCTAAGAGAAACAATGGAGATATGATCAAAATACGGAAGGTTGTCCAACCATGACAGATTGACGAACTTGGTGATTTTCGAAGTTGTTTTCACTCTCGTTCATTTGTGAGATTTCGGCCATTGATTTTCAGGTTTGTACCCTTGCATTAGAATTATCGAATCGTTCATCACATATGTACATGTATACATATAAATCCATACGTTGGAACCATCTCCAAAATATATAGATGTGGTACATATATAAATAAAAGTGTGGAGATAAAAATACACCAAATCCACAGAGTTAATATATACATATACAAATATAAATATAAATATTGTAAATAATTACAAAAACATATACATGACCATGAAAGGTGTTAAAATAAATTAAGAAAGTATTTTAGAGACTTCAAACAACAAAGATAGGATTCGCAGTCACGGACGGTCGAGGTGAACGGTTGACCCCCGAGTAAATCTTCACAGAGCACCACAACGGTCAATCAAACGGTCAACCGCCATTGACCAACAGTTGACCATCACAGTCCCAGCCGAACAAGGAAAGCTTCAGGCGCAGCATCACGGTTGACTACCAGAAGGCAACAGTCGACCGTCACGGTGGCAGAACCGGAATCCTAGAAACTGTGTAGCACGATAGATTCTCGTTCCAAAAGGTTGACCGTATCTAACCCCATAGCTTTGTTGAAGACTTGTCGTGCGGTCCAAAATAAATTAAAAAAATTTATAAACTATTTTTAGCTAACCCCCAATATATAATCAAATAAAAACTATAGCTAGGGAGAGTAAGAGTCGATCCCACGGGGAAAGTTTATCCTTTTTAAAACCATTTTAGTATGCGAATACGTTGTCACGAAAATAAATATGAAAATAAAACTAACTACTACACATATGATAACACTTATAAAACTAATAATAGAACTTATTTTAAAAATAAAAATTAAAACTTATAAATAACTTATATAACAAAGAACTTACTCCGTATAATATAACTTATAAACAAATACATAAGGGTTGAATAAAAAGTAAATATTTTTTTGTTTTTATATTTTCTTATTTTTTGATTTTTTGATAAAATGGGGGAAACAAACTCAAAAGATAATTGATGGATACCCAATATTTTCCCAAGGACTGTAGATCGGCCTAGGTCCAAATATAGGTATCCGGGCCTTATAATATTGAAAGATAATACGAGAATAATAATTAATAGTAATAGAAGCACTGCTCACTAAATAATAACTCAAATCGGCGGTCCTCTCCTTTATTCGGTCCTCTTAGGAACGGAATATGCTTGAGGATCGCCAGAATATCTTTTATTATTTACTCACATATTTTCTCTCCTCCTTACAAGATATCCTCCATTCCCCAAGTCCCTCTTTCTTTTATAGGCACTCCCCATCCATTATCCTCTTCAATAATGGCAGTGATTGGGGGAATATTCGTGACAGTCTTCCTCCATCTGGGGGGATGTATCTCAGCTTGAGGCCGTCCACTGGAGGACAAGCCTGTCCGTCCATCTCTTGCTCCCTGTCCGTCCCTTTCTTCTTGTCCTTGTTCCTTCAATTAGGGGGGACTGCTCTAGACTCTTCCATACGATTTCTTTCCTTCTGGGGTAGCTTATTCTTAGTGGGCTGGGCTTCAGCCCATTCTTAAGCCCCCAATCCTTTTCCTTTTTCCTATCTTTTCTCACGGATAACTTCCTTTGACTGGCCCAATATATTTTCTCTGGGTCGGACACTCCTTTTGATGGACGGAATCTAAATTGGGCCTGGGCCCAATTCGCTAGTATTCTCTCGATGGGCTTGGTTCCCATCACATGCCCCTTTTTTTTACAAGTCAAAAAATAAAAGATTTTTTGGCTGTAGTCTTTCTCGCATGCTCTATCAGAAAGTTTCTCCTCTGTCCCTAATTTTTTTTTTGACGAAGATCCTCTTTTTGGGGAAAACCCCATCATTCACTTTGTATTTACTGCGGATGTTTTCTGTAGCGCATCTTTGCGGGCCACGGGCCTTGGATGAATAATTGGCCGACTGGACTGTCTTTTGGTCACACACTCCTTGGATCGTGGTGCCGCATATCTCTCCAATCACTGCCTGGGGTGCCAATGGCCCATGTCACCTTAATAATGGCTGACCATAGCAGGAAAAAGGGGTGGCAACAGAGGGCCGCAGGCCTGGGGAATTGCCAGTGTGGACCGCCTGGAAGTCTGCGCCACTTAAATACCCATGGCCCATTTTTCCGAACCCCTTTTGACCGGTCCCTCTAATTCCCTCAATTGCTGCGTAGGGCCGTTCTACTGCGCACAATTTAAGGTCCCCACCCATCTATGATTGTGGGACCGTAACAGGAAAAAGGAAAGCAACAGAGGACCGCAGATCTGGGAAATCGGCAGAGTGGACCGTTTGGAGTTAGTGCTCCTGACCCGAGTCCAAGGTTACAATTCTCTTTTCCAGGCGTCCCTTCACTGCCATTGGGCCGTTTCGAAACAGGTGCCATTCAAAATTCTTACCGTTGCAAAGAGATATTGAGGGTGGACCGTTTCTTCTCCCTCTTCTTTCTCTCCATAAATACGGTCCCTCTCCCCTCTCCTTCTTCACGCTCACACGCAACTCTTCACTTCTCCTGCCTTTATCCCTACCGAATCATCCTCTCTTCTTCCCAAGACCTTTACTCTCGCTCATCATGAAGAAGACAATCTCCAAGGTTTCCAAGATCTTCAACGGCGGCAAGAAATCCAAGGAGGACGAGAATGTTTCCTCCATCACTCCTGCGCAATTGGGGGAGATGAGGGGAGTCATTCCTCCTGATTATGGCGTCCAGGAAGCCACGGGTACTACTTTGGAGTGCAATCCTGACATCTCCCGCCGACTGGTCGTCCACTACGACTCGGTTAGGATGGGATGCCGCTTCCCTCTCCATCCTCTCTTGGTCGAACTTTGCAACCGCTACGCCATACCTCCCGGTCAGATTTCCTCAAACTCCCACGAGAGTCTTTTTGGCTTCTTGGCGCGGTGTCACAAGAGAGGCATCCAACCCACTCTGAAGCTCTTCCTCTCTTTCTTCCGTCCCCACAAGTATGATGGCGAGTTGGGCCGGGGGTTCGTGAGCTTCACGGCCCGGACCGATATGCAGTTTTTGGATAGCCCGGTCGACAAACTTGACGATTGGTTCCGCCGCTTCTTCATGGTGGTAGTTCCCGAAGATCTTCCCTTCCCCAACATGTGGCGGAAGAAGGAAGATAAGTTCCCTTCTCACCTTTTTCCCCCTCGCGACTCGGAGCTCGAGGGGGTCTTCCGTCTTCTTCGCAAGAACGGCTATCCGGTCCCCCGCGCGCTCCTCCTCAAGGACTCGTATTTTCGGGGTCTCGGATTCTGGGTGTCTCCCGATATTCCTCCTCAAGAGCCGTTGGGAGACACAACTTCCTCTTGGGTTCCTCCTTTCAGGAGCACTCGACTCCGTTGGCGATCTTCTCGAAGGGATCCTTCCCCGGAGGAGGACACCGAGGGCGAGGAAGTAGAGTCCGCGACGGGGGCCCTATCTCTGGCGCTTGCCCACCAACCTCCCCTTTCGGAAGAGGTGGTGGTTGAGGACGTCTCCGAAGATGATGGCCTCTACGACTTCCCTCCGGGGACCCTGAGGGTGTCCGGCCTTATCCCCGGCGTTCCTCACACTCCTCTCTTTGGCAGGGGAACTTCTTCTTCGGCTCAGCCCATGGGCCCACTAGGTTT